TAGCTGACCACCTCGCCTCTTCATTCTCCTCATCAGCACCTATCGCTTCAGTGTTTTAGTTGTATGCACCACGAATGAAATGATGTCACACACTGAAGACGAGACAGTCAGTTTGGCGGCGATGTCTATTGTCGTTAGTGATGCACGGGCCGGCTTTTTTTTACCCGCACCCGCCCTACCTGATTTAAAATGATAAAAGTACTGACCCAAAGCCTCTCCGAACCCACTCCATTACAAATTACACAGAAAAATATTCGTACACTCATTTGATCAACGTTTATTGAAACAGCATATCCAGATTCCTTGTTTTAAACAGACCAAAGTACCCTAGTCTTGTGACTCATTTTTGTAAAGTGCTTCACAATTGATGCAGATAACCTGTGCTTTTTTCCTCTGTTGTGCTGAATAGTTCGCCTAACATCTCCCACCTGGCTCTTTTTTCTCTCTCTTATTTTTATCTCACTGTTCTGGAGTTGTCCTGTCTGCTCTAACGAGGTTGCCATTACTGTATTGTTTCTTTGTAATACACTGCTTTCGTTTTCCCCCACTTTGCCTTGTGATACAACCAATTGGGGCTTAAATATGGTAAAACGTCAGTTTTAAACCTTAAAATAACTTTAATTTAAGATACAAACGATAGTTTTTTGTCATATATCAACCCGCAGCCGCCCAACCCCATCTAAAATCTTTTTTTGAACCCGAGTCAACCCGTACATCACTAGTTGTCATGATTGCATGGTTACGATGTTTTCGTTTTGATATGTGAGTGTGGTTCGACCACTGCACTGATTATTGTTCGTGCCGTTTTGTTCTTACTTTTGAATATCTTTGATAGAAAGTTAAAAGTGTAATTTAAAGAAGCAGTCGAAGCAGAAGGGTTATTATAGAGCACTGGCTCAAATCTGGGACTCCGAAACGCAAATATAGCGACGACAGTGACAGTACAAGTGCGAGTAAGATGCAGAATAGAAGTGAAAATGCGAGTGACGTAATTTGTGAACCATACCAGCAGTGCTGTTATTCTAATTCCAACAGCTTGATAAATGTGATGTTCAAGGAAGTAGAAGGTGTGCTTGATGTGATGTCTTCGTGCGGACATGAGAGTTGTCCAGCTTGGATCCAGATATCATTTCTCTGGTTGCTCAACAAAAGCAGCTCCATTCTTCACATTAACTTTTTAAGTAATAAAAACATTTGGAAAATATACAGCATTGTTTGTAAAAATATAAGTACTTTTCATAAAATTTAATTCAATATTAGCTATTTGTAGTACGGAAATAGGTGATGATTTTTACAGGGTAAGAAGTGGACATACAGTAGGCATAGGTGCTCCACCACATCTGTGACTTGGTGTAAGTGGTCCGTGGACCATAGAACTTTGAGAACCACTGCTCTAGATGATACTTCAATTAAAAAAACACACAAAAGGTGATACCTATATATTTAAACTGCACACATTTATTGTTTGTGAACTGTCTATCAGTGCCTTTATGAATGTATTTAACTTTTCAAGTAAACATGTTGGGTTGCAGGAGCAAGCAATGCTAAATAATTCTAAGTTGTCAAGGTGTGCCATTAGAGAAGAAACATTTCATCAATGGAAAAAAGCTCCTCTCATATTGTCACATTTTATGCTGATGGTAGTTGATTTAAATGCAGAATATGCACAGATGTGTGGCAGCTAGATGCCATTTCCAGTTCTGAGGTGCACATGCACCAGCTGAGCATACTAGTTTTATTTTTTTAAGCATAATCCATTTGTGCTTAAGTGTACATGGTTGCAGAAATAAATTGGATTTTTAATTTAATCAGTTGAAAGACAAATTTTCAAATGTTTTTAAGGAGGTATACAAAATTTACTTATTTGCAAGCACAGCAAAGTGCATCCTGTACTAATAAATTTTAAATTACTCAATAGTATTCAGGGACATACGTTTGTCTGCTGTTTTTCCAATTAAGACAGTGGTAGAAAGTATCCTGAGATTGCAGGTGCTTTTGTACTGCTGAATCAGCCAGTAGAGAATCCAATAATATTCTTCCTCTTGTTTTAGAGTTGTTAAAGAGGAAGAATTTTAACCTTTTTCCTCATGGTTTGCTTCAATCATTTGTCCTTTGTGGAGACCAACACTCTGCTGATCATATTGAATTTGAAATTGCAACTGCAAAAATGTTTTTAAAACAAGGAAATACAGTATGAAATGGTGTTAACAGGAATAATGAGTGAGGTGAGGTATGACAGGCAAGAAGACTTGAGAAGATGTACTACAGTGTAATGCATCTATACAGTGGATACAGTACACGCATACAAATACATTTTTCACCTGATATATTTCCTTATATTAATAATCTTGCAGCAGGAAACAGATTCCTGAATTTATTTCCAGTAGCAGAAAATGACAGGAATTCAAGACTCACAATAAATAAACTGCTTGAATTTCAATTTCATGCTTTCATTGAGTAGCATATGAGATAAAAGTTTATTTTCTTTTTTTTCACCGATTAAACATGAAGCTCAGGTTTCATTTATTTTAATCAAAATGTTTCTAGTTGATGTCCCCCATGTTAAAGTGAATTTCAAATTTCTTGGCATGGCTCATTGAATTCTAAATGCTGAGCATTTAATGTTTCCTACAATGAATTAGGCATGGTGTGATGACCTTTCTAGACTTCTCAACTGCTTCTGCCTGACAAATAATTTCTTTCTGCTTTTCATCTGTCATTCTTTACAATTCTTGTTAATTAGGATATCAAATACGATTCACACTGAGGAATTGACTACAAAGTAATCCTGCACTTTATTTTCCTGCATTTGTGCTACACATGCTGTTTTGTTTAATGCAATCATTTGGAAAATAGACAGTACATTAATAAATATAACTTATTAAAATCCTTTTAGCTCCCATTCAAACAATGGTATGGTCCCTTTGAAGTCTATCCAGATGAATAGACTGTTCTGAACAGAGTTGAAGAAGGGAGTTAACACTGGTCTAGATTTCCACTGTATATAAATTCCCAATCCCTTGCTTGCAAGGTATTGAGACTCATAATCACTAATTACTGTCTTTAGAATTATGCAATGGATTTGAATATCAAATAGAAAAGAGCTGAATTTCAGACAATACCTAATCAGGTTATGCCCAGCAGTTTTCCTTGCTGTGTTAATTACACACGCGATTGTTACAGTATATTGTACATGTGTTGTTGGAGCAGCACTGACTTTGGTGTTGTCTGACGCTAGATATGTAAATGAAGCCTTTCTCCTGCAGGAGGAATTTCTCAGCTTGAAATGATCCTGGAAGGCTAACTGCAGTGCAGTGCCAGATCTTTACAATTGGAAAAACTAGAAAGGAAGTCTCAGACATATTAACTCATGTTGCCATCCCAATACTTTTTTTTTGTCTTTTTATGACAAGATATAACCAATGGTTGCTCTACTTGCATACTTTTTAAAAATGCATTTTAATATCTGACTGTAACGAACAGTTCTTTGTAACCCTATACGGACCCTATACGGACGACACAATCCGAAGAAGTGAGGAAACACTGGGGAAAAAAGTCATGCAGGAATACGGGGATGAAAACAGGGGGCGTGTCCATGCAGTGTTGGTGATCCGGGGAGGTGTGGCCGAGGCAAACAATCCAAAATCCAGAGGGGAATCCAAAAAACGGACAAAGTCCAAAACCAGGTGGTCCATCAGGAACAAACGGATTAAAACCAGGAACCTGGTCGGAACTGGCAGGAGGGACAGGGACAGGGACAGAGACAGGGACAGGGACAGGGACAGGGACAGGGACAGGGACTTAAAAACATAACGGAGCCAGACGCACTCAGGTCCCGGGCTCGCACGATATGGAAATCAGATGCAGAGCCTGGATTAATGTCAGCGCCTGGCTTTTAAGGTGGACTGGGAACAGGGGACAGGTGCAGGGAATGAGGCAAACAAGGAAGAGCCGGAGCGCCCTTAAGGAAGAGGGACTACAATCGTGACACTGACAACAAAATTAAGTTTGCCTATGTTTCAAAAAGTTTTAAATTGCTGGACATACAGTATACTTATGTTCTCACTTTGTTGTTTTCGTGAATCAGTGGGATTAGCCACTAATGTCTGATTAATGGGTGCACTTACAATATGCAGTGCTCAGAAAATAAGTGTGATCCACCCTGGCGTGGGGTGTCATTAACAGGTCTAGGTAAATCAGACACAAATCCTCGATAAGGTAAAGAGATTTTATGCTTTTATTGACAGCGAAACAAAAGTTAAAGTTCCTCTTTGAGCGACTGACTTGACTTAATCAAAAATCCCTCACTATCGGTAGCAGCTTACTGGTTCCAAAACAAAGTCTCTCTGAGACTCCTCCAAAAACTCAAAAGCTCAACATTCACATTCTTTTTTGCCTGCTTGGTCAGTCAGTCATTCAGTCAGTTGCTTCTGTCTCTCCCTCCGGCGCAGTCTGCATTTCAGGACATCTGCCCTCTCTTTCCAGACAGCAGATGCTGACTGACACTGGAAGCTTCAGATTCCTAGTTTTTAATAAATCACCCAACCGATTGTCTTAAACCAGTTGGTCAGGTGACTGTGAACAGCAGGTCTTTCCTCACAGCTTGTCTGCCAATGTAGTTCAGACGGTAGTCTCCATCTTGTCTGAACTGACCTCTCCTAACAATATCATTTTCATGCAAACACTTTTGCAAACACAGCTTTTATAGTCTGAGCGGTAAGGAAAAATAATGCTACTGTTTCTGTTTTAATGCAATTATTTTATAATAATCCAATTATGTAAAATAATAATGATTCTGAAAGCTGTGCCAAGAAAAGCTTTTAAGTCAATGATGTAGAAACAATTAGTTGTTTAAAAATAAAATCTTCGGAATACCATATTTAGCAGTATTGTAGTACTGAGGACAAGTCTTAAGAAGTTTAAGAAGTGTTACTGAAGAGGAAACTTTGCCTGTCTTCATCATTATGCATATTTTAAATTTGATTATGTTCTCTTTTTAGGGGAAAGGAGTGTGGCCATGATGTGGATTTTCTAATCACCACTCCTGAGATGGGGAAGGAGGTGTGGCTGCTCAATAGATTGATTAACAGACTGCAAAATCAGGTACAGGACATTCATATCTGTATGATCAAGTACGGGGGGTGACTGAAATTGTCACTTTAAAAACACCCTTTCTTCTTCATATAACAGAATGAACATCGTGTTGATTTAAACATTTTTTACTTTTCACTGTATGAACTCTCTTTTATGCCAATACTGTATCTCTGCATATGGCTGATTTCCTTGAGTAAATTCAGTTTTATATTGGATTTGGAAACATGAAACAAAGGCAGCACACACTGAATTTTTTTACATTGTCTTGGCCTGCACTGGGAGAGGGAGGTTGCTCTGTACACACAAAAAGACACAGGTTCATTAATTCATGTTGTAAAAGTAGGACAAGCCATTGGTAAAATGTAATTGACTCTTAGCTGGAGATATGACATTCCTCTCTTGAGAATGTTGCTGACATAACAACAGGACCGAAGCTGAACAAACCCTGCCAGAGTCCCTGCTCATCTCATATAATAAAGCAAAACGAATCCTGATTGTGAGCCATTAGTACTGAGCGGAAGCTTCACGACAATATGCAATTTCCAAGCTCATCCTTTGTTCTCAAACAGAGTAGGAAGGAGTAAACAGATAAGTGGGGCTATGAATATTAAAGAGCGGTAGTAAGAAGAAGAAAGGATAACAGAGGAAGAGGTGGGTGAACTGCAGTCAACACAGACAGAAAGCATAAAAGTAAGGGGCTCGAGATTGTCAGGTGTATCCAGTCAATGGAAGGTAAAAAAGACTTGATTATACATTTCAACACAGGCTGCCTGCTAGATTTCTTACAGGGTGAAGACACCATGACACTTTGTTGAAACAGAGAAGGTATTAGCCGCATTGATTTGTAATGTGTTTCTGAATACTTGGGAAAGGCTGAATTAAGGAGCATGTGCTTCGGTAGCATTTATATATTTTTGTGAGAAGGTTCCTATGTACATTCAGCAAAGAAATCAATCATAATGAGGGGGCTAAAGGAATATAAAAGGAAAGTGTCCCTCAATGCCAATAGTATCCCTGAAGTCCTCACTGTAAACGTGTAGTAAAAAAAAGAGAAAAACATTTGATGAAGTGTTGGTTTCTGAAGCTTGGCTGCAGGCCCTTCTTTGTCATTGCTGGATTTAAAAATAAACTCAATTTTTTTATTGCCTCAGAGGTCCAGATCTACAGACAATTAGCTTGGCCCTCTCCATCACTACCTAACCAAAAATAAACACTGCACTTTGAGATATTTTCATCAAGTGTTATGAAGGTTCACTTCAGATGGAGAGGAATTTAGAGCCAAGCAGATAAGGGTAAATGGTTTGATACAAAAGGACGAGTTATGTGCGTTCTGTGGAATAGATGCTGTAAAACCTGACAGATCCCCGGAGACTCTGGAAGCAGTGATTAAGTGGAGGTAACAGAGGTTGACTTTAAGTCTTGTAACCTTGTCATCCACAATCTCACCCTCAAGGAGCAAGCTATCACAGAGGCCTAATATTATAGCCTTTTTTAGCCCGTGGGGTGGGAAAATATATCTTTCCCAAAAATGTCCTTGTAAAAAATGTGCCTGATAAATTTTGAGTCATAAAATGTTACTTGCAAGCCATGGTGAAGGTTATGTCTCAGGTTGCAGTAAAAATGAAAACTGCTTTAAAAATCATATAGTACTAAGCACTTTAAAATCATACTTGAGACATATATAAAAATATAGACATATCGGTGTCTATGCTGTCATTCAAAAAAGGCCATTGCAATCATAAAACACATCTATAACAATTTTAAGCAAGGGTTTTCAATGATTTGTAGTTTAATTGTAGTTTCATTTTTTATATATAATTATGTGTAATATATTTATGTAGTATTAATTGAACTGTCAGTTCTATGTTTTACTTTACAATATGCTTAAATTACAGTACCACTTCAAGAGAAATTCAGTAAGTATGTACTTTTGACTATTTTGTACTGGATTACTACCAAGCCAACAAAAATTATAAGCAATTTTGTTTTTCTGACAGAAGATTTAAAACAAAATGAGGAGGCAATCAGCTAGATTCATGAAAAAAAATCAATGTACTGTAAATGTAAAAAAGAAAAACTGTCAAATCACGTTTTTTATTCGTAGTGCGGACCTGATATATTTTTATGAAGACCATTTGAAGAGGTTTAAATTAATATGGCTATGTACAGTATTTCTCTTTTTTTTGTATCGACTCACAAAGTGCTTCTACACTTTTATAGAACAATTGCATTTTTTTGCAATCACTCCTTCAGTATCTGCAATATCTTTGTTATTTGTGTTGGCACACAGGCCGTTTCAGTAACACTACAATTACCGGTTCGTGCCTCTGTTGCTGCTTTGCCTTCTTTAAATTTTGAAACAGAAGATGAAATGCTACTGTTTTGATGAATACATCAGTGTTCCTTTGAATGAAACAGGCGCAATACCTTGTGGAAATTATTTGTCAATAATACTGCACAGAAGAAAGAAAGGTTTTCAAATGCCTGCAACATGAGCTTCAGATTACTTCCAAATATCTAGAAGATGCTAATACTGTGAGCAAACCGTAAATCAAAAGAAAACAAAACATTCAGACAAATTCTAAAGCTTGCATAGTAATCTACTTCTTAAAGGGATTATCAATTTTTTTTTTCTTTGAGAAATGACATTTGATCCAGACTTTTATGTTTACTTATCTAGGGCTGAACAATGACAGTTACATGCTGTTCACACTTGTCTGCAGCAATGTCTGATGGCATTCCGGAAAACAACAAAAACTGACCTTTCAGTTTTCACAAGGTTTCCCCACATATTTATTTTTCTTCCAGCTATGAATAAATTAACTTCAGATAGCTTTAAATATTCTGTATCAAAAAAAGATAGGAACAATCACTTTAAATTTGTAAACTGATTTGAGAAAATTAGGTTACATATGTTACTGTGTGAACCGCATTTAACATATTCAGGTCAGCTTTTCCGAATATTTTTTAGGGAAAATGGGTATTCTGACCCCTTTTCAGGAAAACCAAGTAGGATTATAGAGAAGTACAGGATGCATATCAGTTTCGATATCTGCATTTGTTATAGATCTCAAGCTCAGAAGGAAATACATTCCATAAAACATTCCCTATAATTGTGATAGCAAATACAAAACACTGTGTTTTTTAGATTGGGAATAACTCTACTTCTGCTTTCACACACAGCAAATTTCAGCCAGATTCTCTGACGTTTGTGGTAGGACTGAAGAGAGCTGCGATGATTGATTTGAGATTCTGTGTGGAAGTCAGTTTGCACTGATGTCTTATCTTGGCTCAGAAAGTTTGTGAAAGCTTACCTAATGGAAATTGCTAGTGTTTTTTCTGATACAGAGAAATCCGGTCAATTATTATGAAATTAAAAAAAGAGTGGCGCAATATCATTGGGTATCTCAATGAAGCGGTTCCCTTGACAAAGTGGACATCATTTTGGAAATGCAGCGTCCATTAATTCAGCTGCTATTTCTTTTTGAGACCTTTTTGAGAACTGCGAATATATGGGTGCTAAATAGGGTACTGTAACCTAACAATTACTGCTGGGGCTGGAATTAAATCGACAGTCTGTAATGTTAATCGCCTCAGCATTCACAAAACTGGGGAACTAAATAATAAACTTGGACTGGAACCCAAAGGAAATCAATTTAGCCTCCTGTTCATCCTAGGCCATTGGAGACGAATCTCTTTCTTCTCATTCTTTAGAACGTCAGTGTCTTACTTTAAGTGATTTTTTTCCAGTGCAACATTTAACTGCTAAGGATTGGAACTCCCTATGGTGTATACTGAAAACACATAATTTATTTTGTCTCATGCCAAGATGTTCTGTGGAATAATGAGCACTGATTTTTAATGCAGCACTAAAATTAGTAAGCTACAGTACAAGGAAAAGATTTTAATACTTTTGGAGATGTGTTATTTCAATTTGCTGTTTCTAACAAGATAAAATGTTGCAAATTACACCCCTGGAAATTATTAAATAATTATTACCTATCAAATTATAGTAACCTTTATTATGTACCTGTCATCTCCTACATAGTAATTATCTTACAATTCTATTATGCTATTAATATTAATATGCCTGCAAATTAAACATGCAAAAATGTACTGTACAAAGACTTTTTACATGTAGCTTGTTCAGTAAGAAAGAGTGTGTTCCAAATGCCAGCAGAGAACAGGGACATATAAAATCATTTTACTGTATGTATCAAATTTAAAGATGCACTTTGTCAGGGTTTTGTTATGGTTTCCAAATTTAAATAAAAATTACCATCTTTGCCTTGTGCAAAATGTTTATATGTAAGGGTTTTATGATAATTCAGTGATTTTATAACTTGATATACAGTACACTGTACACACTAATTATTATGGCCATGTTCTTCTTAAATGATGTGACAACAATAGAATTAAAGTAATAAAGATTTGGAAAGACTAAGCCTAAAGAGGATATTCTGACTAAAACAAAAATCACTCATAATTTATAGCACAGTGTAGTTCCTAACATACTAGGTCATTGTCGATAAATGGAGATCTGATTACTCAGGACCTTACCCATCTTAGAAGGCAGCAGTGACAGAACTGATTTTTGAGCTTGAAAGTGTGGTTTTATAGAGGTGATTTGAAGTGCATGCTTATCACATAGTGATCTAATACATTTGGAATGGCAGTTTGGTATCAATTTTGATTTGATTTTTGTTTTTGACTGAAATTCCAAGAGCAGTAAGTGCAAATTAATCAGTTGCTGAAACCTGAAATTATTTAACATTTCAATGCACTTGAATCACTCAAAAAGTGCTTTCGTTGTGTTGTTTAAAGCAGTTGTGTTACAGTATGTATGTCTCTGCACTGGTCAAATGGTAAACCACTTTACATTATGTAATGTTGTGTATGTAACTTATCTGAGCTGACAATAGTTTTGCAATCTAGAGTCAGTGTGGTCATGTCTTACAATTTCTTATTTTAAAATACAATATACAGTATATAATTGTCAAAAACTCATCTTTAACATTATGTAATTATCATTCTTTCCCCTTCAAGGGCATTTTGCTGTATTATGATATTGTTGAATCTACATTTGACAAGACCAGACTGCCGTGCAGAAAGTTTGAGGCAATGGATCACTTTCAGAAGTGCTTCGCTATAATCAAACTGAAGAAGGAGCTGGCGGCCGGCAGAGTGCAGAAGGACTGGAAAGCCATACGAGTGGATTTTGTTGCCCCCCCTGTGGATAATTTCGCTTTTGCACTCTTGGGCTGGACAGGCTCAAGGGTAAGGAGTCACATTTTAATAGTACTGATAAAATCTGAAGAACATTGGTGCAAAGTACCATAATGGACAAAAAACAAACATAAAAAATACAAAAGGAGATAGTGTTGAAAGGGGATTCTGGATTGCTTTGATGAGTCTGTAGAAGAAGGGTGATGAAGCCCCTGTTTACACATTTCAGGTGTTTTGTCAAATTGTTCTTAGTGTGTCAACTGTAATTACATTTTTTTTGCACCTGAGAGATCTTCCATAATGCCTGCAAGAGATTTCAGTCCTGCGAGTTCCAAATCATGTCTCTTTAAAATGAAGTCAAAAGCTATCAAATGGGTACTGGAGAAACATGTGAGGGCAATTCTCAGTTGTACTGTCTGGTTGGCTAGTGCTCTGTAGCCTCCAGACTGGAGCTGAAAAGGTCACTATGAATTAGTTCATGCACAAGTGGGAGCTGAAGTGGTATCTCTACAGTTCTGCTTCTGTAAAGGGACTTACAACAATTCAGGAATCTATAAAAAGTCGATTCATCGCATCAGTGTTATGGGACAGGCCCATCAGCAGACGTCATTACATTTTTTGTACTTCATTGGTACAACACAGAAGCACACGCAGCTGTCTTCTGTATTTCTGTGGTGAAACACAGCACGGTTTCTGTCTTCAATAGCACTAACAGACCTACTGAACTACAATAGATTGCATATCAGCATTGGTTTACAATGAGAGTACAACAGAGGAAAAGAGCAGACGGATATAATTGGATATTGTTTAAGAAAGTACCAAGATCACTCCACAGTTTCCTGGTACTTTAGGCCTTGCTTCTCCACCTGATCTGCTGTGTAGTTTGCTGTGTAGTTTGCTACAATGTCCCATCCTGTATTTAGATCTTTTTAGTATTGTTCAAGTTAAATTGTGCTTGTATAAATACAAGGAATTAAATATTTGTTGTACTCCACAGCAGTACAAACCTTAGATAACCTTCAGAGAGGAAAGGAACAATTAAAAAAAATTAAACATTAACCTTACGCACAGAGAAGAATAGACCAAACTGTAAACATGATTTATCAGCAAGTACAATGCATACCTGAATATTACTGCAAATGAAAATGTAAAATGCTTTTGAAAGAGATTAATAAATTGCATTTTGTAATGAATGCCCCAATGTGGATTTTGTTGAGATTAGTCACAAAGTGCTGTTGTACGAGAGTCTTTATTATCCCTGGGGGGGGGGGGTTGTTTTACAGCAGCAGTGTCGGTGTACAGATGGACAGAAGGAAAAAAAAGACAGGGACAACAATATACAGTACATACAATGTATACATACATATTTACATATAAGGTAAAGTGTTAAGTGATGATATGGCTACAGGTCATAGTATATCTGTGGTGCATAGTATATCTTCAGGTCAAGATGACACCAGTACAAGCTGCAGACAAAAAAAAAGGTGGCTATATGAACAGTATAATAATATCATACAAAGTCCTCTTAGAAATAAATAAATGAATCAATAAATACGTTTACCTTTTCATGCATTTTTCTTTAGCAGTTTGAGCGAGACCTGAGAAGATTTGCACGCCATGAGAGGAAGATGCTACTGGATAACCATGCCCTTTATGACAAGACTAAGGTACTTTACGTGTGAATGAATGTTTATACAGTCAACTATAATGGAAGAAAAAAATAGTATGACGTTGAGTCCTTTTACTGTATGTACACTCTAGGCTACTGGTCATATAAAGGCAATCTAAGTACATTAAATACTGAAAAGGTGATTTTCTTGTTTTTGGCAGTCACTTACTGGTCTTTGGGAAACCTCACTAAACAAATAAGGTTGTTTAAGCATTATAGAGCACTTGAAAATATATGTTATGCTTTACATTTGTAATTGAGACTTATTTTCTTTGCTTAATTACACTTATTTTTTACATAAGTGATTTTTCCTTTACAAACCACAGAATATAACTTGATAAATCAGGCTTGTTTGGAAGCATACTGTACATATTTTGTTTTGGTTGCAAGAAACAAAATTACAGAGATAATGGCATACACAGTTCCTTTAAAGAAATCCATTTTTGCTGTGTTCAGCTATGTATGCCAAATAAATGGAGGCAGTCCCACAGCCTCAGGGTTAATGATATAAAAAGTGGCTGATCTACATATTACATAGAAAGCTCTTTATGGAATGTGATAAACCCCTGATGTGCAATGGAATGTTAAAACAGGAATCTGAAATTATTATATATATATTAATCCATATATTAATATTTTAATCCATACATATCCACATATAAGCATGTGGAGAATAAATGAGGAACTGTTATGTTGTATAAAAGGTTTACATTATCAAAAAAAATCATTCACTTTAAGATGATTCAGACAAAGGTCCTTATTATGCTATTTAACTAGAAAAGTAATCATAGGACAGTAAACGTGCTGTTGCAGTATAGTTAAAAACATGTATTCTGATTATTAAAGTGGAACTATCAGAGATGAAGGTCAAGCAGTGCTCAGCTCTAATGCCAATGGCTCAATTGCCATAATTCATGTTCACAAGGAATGCATTTGTACTCCTGAAATGGATTACAAAGCTCTGGCATTGAGCTTATCAAGAGGATTTTAACTCATATAAAAGCTTCCAAAACTGCACTGCCAGGAATTAACACATTATCTAGATTTATTTGAGTATTATTTTTGCCCTTAGAAGATTGGGAATACTTGATAACAGATATTAGCATGAAAATAATGAAGATGTACTATGTGAATTGTCCACAGAGAAAAGATGCAGGTTCAACTCTGCATACACTTCATAACAGTGCATTACATTAATTTAATATTGCACAGCTGTCCTAAAGTTATGTAGATTAAAGCTAATTGGATTAAGAACCAAACAATAAACTTCTGTTTTACCTTTCATGAGGTTAATTTAATGGCAATTAATGTATCAACCTTTAGAATATTTAATTTAACATACATTAATTTCAAAGAAATACCTGAAGTGAAAATAAAGACACTCCAGTTGCGAAAGAAAAAAAACAACTAATAACTACTTGGCCCTGAATGATGTATGTTCAGACCTCTCTGAATGGCATTACAAGGGCTCATCCATCTCCCTTTACTGTCAGTGAAATTCAGTAAAAGGGGACAGCCGGAATATGACTGAGGACTGCATATATATTCCCTGGGACTCTCTAATACAGAGTCTGTGAAAGGAATTGGATACAGTCTCAGAAATAGGGTTGGTTCATTTCATGTGTGGAATATAAATACATTGCTCCCCTACACTGTGCAATGAGTGACACAACAGCATATTAACCAGTTTTTTTTAAATTTAGGATTTCCCTCTGCCTCTATACAGCGGCACATTAGATAAAGCTGTCTGTCCCTAGGTTGATATCCTCCTAATTAATAATACTCCCACCCTACAAGATAATGCCCCCTGCCACTCTTGGCCTTCAGGCACTGGTTCATGGGCAGTTACTTTTAAAATCTGAAAACATAGCATGCAGTTTTTAATGAATCACTTTGATGTGGACAAAACGGTACATTTCACTGAGCATGAAAATGCTCTGACAGAGGAAGAGTGCGATGTAGGATCAGATTAAACTAGCAAGGGTGTGATGCGGATGCTGCCTCTGCTCTAAAAGTTGTACTCTTCTTATTCTAGCTGCTGACATACAGCTCTTGTGCACTGGGATGCTAAGCAGGTCTTCTGCACATATACATTCATATACATATGCACATGTTTATCCCACATACAGCAAGTGACTCCTGGTGAAGTGGAGATCACTAAGTGACTGAAGGGAAAAAACCTTGTCAAAATCAGGTCCTCATCAATTCTTCTGGGACACAGGTTAGCACAGAACTAGTGACAGTCGCATGACAGATGTAAAACCTTTAAACTCAGCCGCATTTATTTAAATAAAAAAACAGACAGACAAAATACGAATCCCCAGTGTGAAGCAAACAGGGGCCTCCATACAAAACCTACAAAAATGCCTTGAAAAATGTATAATGCAAACCATGGGATGTATCTTTTTGAAGATCGTGCATTTTTTTTTTTTTATTCTCCATTTGCAGAAATCAAGGTCAGATCCAAGGTTATTTTCTGATAGAATCATTTAACAATGTAGGCTCTTCATTAGCTTGTTCTCTGGTTTGGAGCTGTAATTAAGGTAATGAAGATCAATTAACTGTCTTGGTTACCAGTTAACTGGCACAGATAGTTGAATTTGCTTCTTCTTATTATGCCTGAAGCTGAGACAAGTGGCCCGCTTTGTCCTTTGTTTAGCGAGGTCTTAATTAATTGGCTGAAGCAGAACATATGGAAACAGAATCTCAGATAATGAGGATTACTCCAGCGCAAACCTGTTAATAGTCTGATCATTTTAAAACAAAAAGTAATTTCTTTTGTCTGAATTTGGTCAGGTGAGTATATTTTGGATTTTTATGAAATAAGACTTTCTCTTGTATCTGCAGAACGTGTACTGTGATAAAACCACTAATGGAAACCTACTCACACCCTTTTGCCAGGACTCCCCAGTGATGAAATCCAGAAGGTTTCACATTACAGTACAGTAATAAAAGACCCCTAAGAAAATTCACTTTCTGAAGTATGGAATTTTCACATTCCACAGACCAGACCCATATGACAGGCCTGTACAGTGTTTACATTGTTTTTTATCTTTGATCCAAACACTTACCTGGTAAAGAGATTTCTATTTATTATGCTTTACCAGAGCTCCCACTGCAGTGCCATGGGCTCACTGTCCCTAGCTATACCTTTTCCATTCTTATGTAATCTAATACAATAACAATTGCTTGGTGTTAAAAGAAATCAGAGGCATTTTTAAACAGTACAGGTAAAGAAAGTACAGGTAGATTTGGTTGTAACTACAACACAACACACATATATTAGTGTACATAACTGTTTTGTACAGTAGGTGAGAGGTTATCATATCTATGTACTGTATATCAATCGACATCATAATCTATCTACTGCAAGTCTATAACATAAAACTGCATGGAGCACTACTACGTATTACAGAGTTTTCCACTTGAGAGTGAACAGCTTATATTTCTTTGAAGTCTTGAAAATGAATTTATCATGTGTCTGTTAACTACAGTTGTGAACAGAAAGGTAGGAAGCTATTAACTAGAAAACAAGGGGTTCTATATTTTCTGCAGTTTATGAAATGTTGACATGCCCTGCTTTGTTAGAGTTGCTCGATTATTAACTCTCTAAATCTAATATGTAAATAAAAAAATTAAATTTTATCCGTTTGAATTTGATCACGTGAAGGCTGGATTGACATTTATTGTCCTCTCCTTCACCGTTTTTAAAGCCTTGTCTGTGCTGTTTCTGTTCGAATATGAAGGTAAACCATTTTCTAACCTGCCCTCTACTGTATTTTTCAAGGTGTCATATAATTAATATATGCTGCCCAGTGATAAATGAGGACATTCACATAATTTCATCAGTTGCAGACAGACAGTCTCCTCCCATTGCAAAAGTGCTACATGACCTGTGCAACACCTCTCATGTAAAAATCAGTAATTTTAAAAACACCCTTGAAACTTTTTTTTGTGCATGGGTAATTACTCAAAGCCAAGTATAACGCGATGATTAATGAGGTACATGCCCCTTGTATCATGCCTCTGGAATGGATGTCTAATGATTAGGATTATTACACCTCTGATTTTTTTAATTAATGCTCTCTCATTCAGAACTATAATTTGAGCTTTTGAGAATGTTCAGTTCTTGCCACTGTCAAATCTTATTGACAGCCACACATTTTGTTCTATGCAAGGTGGAAAAGAGGGAGAGGACACATGTCTGTTACAAACTGTAAGCTTAATCCGTGACTCATACATCTCTGAATTCTTCCTATTCTCCAAGCAGGTGTTATTATAGAGGTAATTCCTGCTTCGGAGTGTTTACATTTTTTACTTGGTCCCCAAGATAACTTAAATGTATCTTGAAGTAGTTCAAGCAGGTAGCTGCGTCAGCATGCATAGGCTGCAAAGGAACAAGTAAAGGTTTTTTTTCAATGTTGAAAAGAGAATAAAAGAAACAAAACGTTTTGGCTGTGGAGCCTTCTTTGGGTCAAGTACTTGGAATACTCCATGCCACTGTCATACTGTATACAGTATTTATGTCATATATTTGATATAAATAGAGCTAATTAAGTGTTACTTAACATTATTCAATTAGGAATGCACAGAAACAGAAACAATAAAAATCTTGAAATGCCATAGAACAGTGAAACACAATCCAGAGGACTGCTGTATTTATAACTAAGAACAGGAGACCTTTTTACAAAGTTATGTGGGTCTGAAGCAACACACCCAGCTATGTTGTTCTAGCTGATACCAGCTCTTCCCTCAGGAAATGGATGGGTGAGATCCTCAAAATACTCAGCTTCTAAAAACCAAAAGAGCTTACTGTGCCAAATGGTTTCCTCTTGTTTACAAACTTTTTCATGCTTATTTATAGTTTTCACTTCAATGTGTCAAATGTGTTTCAGTATATGGACTCTACTATCATTTTCTTTTTTCTTTTAGTCATAAATGCACAAATGTGATTTAAATTTCAAAATAATTTAGACTCTACAAACAAGCAGAGCTTTC